GAGTTTTTTTTTAAAACCAACAGTATAAAGGTATTCCTCCCTACAGATTGTGTGTTTAAATTAGGAAAAAGCAGATCACTCTGCTCCTGGATGGGAGGAAGGGGAAAGATTTATGGGGTTTCTGAGTTCCCGTGGGAGTTTCCCAGCAGGCCCCTGGGAAACTGCCGAGTCCTGCACAGATAAACCTCACCCTTATGGTAAAAGTTCTGTTTTGCCCGAGGAGCCATCAGAAGTGCCACAATCATCGTTGTCCCGGAGCATTAGGTGATCTTTTAGATATACTGAGCCCAGGCCCTTGAATGCCTTAAAGAACAAAACCTTGAACCCTTCTGCACCGACCTCCCAGGGGTTTGGGCTTTTGCTTGGTCATTTCCTCCTCAAATCACATCCTGCTAGCTGGCTGTCCGTGCCCTCTTGCCCTTTGTGCCCACTCCTAACCGCTCAACTGCTGAAGTTGCCCCTGTGCTCTGCATTCCTTTCTCACTTCAGCCTCGTATCTGTGAAACTTTTCCCAGCACCCCTCCCAAGTTCTCTTGCTGCCAACTCAGACTCAGTATGAGCTTCTCATATTCCCTTTCAAATCCTTTTCTATCGTGGCAAATAAACCCACTGTCCTCTACACATGCACTCCTGATACTATCCTTGACAGCTCTTCACTTCTGGCACTCAGCTGCTGTTTAATCATACAGATTCCTTCTCTGATTCACCTCATGTGCTCTTGCGGCCAAAAGCTTGACTTTGATTTGGCAATGTCACAACAGGAGTACTGGGATCTCCTCCCTTATGATCTGATTCCTACCTCGCATGCCCCACTGTCATTAGCACGCTCCTGTTTCACTCTATTTGGGCTGGCATCATGGCGCCTTCAGAGTCTGGTATCATCACCTCACCTCTGCCTTTCTGCACATACCACCAGTACCCTGCTCCTTTACGCTTTCCCTGATTTTATCATTTTCATGCTGGAGAGTTTCTATCCTACTGCTGTCCCTTTGCACAGAATGACCCGCCTGACCTTGACTCCCAGGTAGCCCTCACATTCAGATCCCTCCTCCAAACATCCTCCCACAGAGACTGCTCTCCCACCACAGTCTCATTCTTGTGACATTTGCAAAGTGGGGGGGCAGAGCAAACCAAACAAATCTAGCAACCAATATAGCTTGAAAACCGGAACTAACATGATGTGCATGCAGCACCAGAAATAACCGTGCAAGCCCTGTCCTTCCCTTGACCCCTCCCCTGCACGTCTCCTACCATCTCTCCTCTTCGTGTCAGCCTCTGCTGTGGGCCCCACCACCGGGACCCCTCCTGCTCCTCCGCAAAGCCCCTGCATACCTACGGCACCACAGGTCTGAGCGATAAGCGCTTGAGCTCCGCTCCTCCCTAGCAAAACAACTGGAACCGCCAGCAGCTTCCCAGAGGAGTTATTTTCAGATAATGCTGCAAAACCGCTTCCCTGCACTGGTCTTTGTATTGAACAAATGAAAGGACAGCCTAAAACGAGGGCTAGTATAAAAGTATGATTTCTCTTTTACCCAGGAAACGTTGCAGGTGCAGGCACACCTATTCACCCTCACAAACCCCCCCCAGCCGGTCCTGCTTTGTGCAAAGAGAGTGTTCGTGTTTATTAGCCTTTTTCCCTAGCTGCCCACTGGCACGGACTTTGCTCCTCCGGGTTGGGATTTCTAAGCAGCAGGAGGCTTTCCACGTGTGTCTGAGAAGGTACAAACCCTGCCGGAAAACAATGGAAATAGCTGGCTTATGACTGCTGCGTGTCACGCACTCATTTCTTGCCTGTTCGTTTGTCCTTGCAGCTGCTTGCACCGCCTGGAACCTGATCTCGAGCGGTCCCGGTCATTCCGGCTGGCACGCACACCAGCCTGCCGCCACGCCACGTGGGCAAGACACGGCCGGACTCTGGCCCGGCCTCCCTGCCCTGCAGGAGCTGGAGGCCTGTGACAGGGGCAGATAAGACCCCTCAGCCCACTGGAATCTGGAGCCACCCCAGAAACACGGGCTAGGGTGCAGGGCTCACGACAGACAGGGGATTTTCTGTGGGCTTTCTGCTGGGAAATAGCCACTGCAGAGCGGAGTGTGGCAGGAGCAACCTCTCCTGTGCTGTGCTTCCCCCAGGGCCCCTTGCCTGTGAGTGTCTGGGCTGGCAGCAGCATGCTGCCTGCCAGGTTCTCCTCACCGCCTGGACAGGCTCTCCTCAGCTCCCCCAAGGGCTAGAT